GGGGGGTCGAAGAAGAAGAAGAACGAAGGGAGAAAATGAAAAGGAAAATAAAAACGAATTTCATCCGTTTTCAAAAAAAATAAGTTTTTGGAATAAATCTAAAAACGTTTTTGTTTTTTATTTTAGTACGGATTCTTTCCAAACACATTTTTATTTTTCCTTCTCAAAAAACGTGACGAATTTCATCCGTTTTCAAAAAAAATAAGTTTTTGGAATAAATCTAAAAACGTTTTTGTTTTTTATTTTAGTACGGATTCTTTCCAAACACATTTTTATTTTTCCTTCTCAAAAAACGTGAAAAATAAAAATGAGAATGGAAATAAACAGGCCTTTAGATCTCACTCTCTTTGTGAGACCCACATGGATTTCTTCTTACCCATTTTTGAAATGTGAAGAAATATCAAACACCACATCACACTGTAAATATTTTTGAGTGGGTAGTAGTCTCAAAGGCAAAGCCCGCTGTCCACTTTTTTTTTTTTCCTATTTGATATTTTTTTATTCATTTTATGGATGATTAAGATTTTTATTACTAATAGTTATGATAATTAGCTCAAATTATGTTTTTAGCCTTTAATTCAGTGCCACACCAGCACTAAATAAATAGAGTGTATCATAAGGGGTGTATGTGCCGACGGCTGAAAGTAACACTAAATTATTCAACTTTTAAAGTTTAAAGAGTAAAGTGATAAAGTGAATTGAGAGTTTAAAATAAAATTTATTCTCATTTTTATGGGTTCTTTTTTTTTTATCTTTTATCTTTTGAATACAGAGTTTGGCTGGGTAGTGGTGGTGTGTAGGGGTGGCAATTCATATCACGTGTTGTGTTTGTGTCGTATTTTGATCATTTTTTTCTAAATTTACAGTCAACTCGAACACGACCCGTGACACGAAATTTTTTAAAAACCGCAATACGAACACAACATGATCACTTTACGAGTTGACACGATACGGCCCGCGAAAATGACCCGTGACACGAAATTGACCCGTGAACCCGAAATTGACACGAAAATTGTATACTTTTATTTAGTTTTTTACATATTAAAAATAACTTAAAATTCATAACACACTAAATTACAATAACATCCATTAAAATTAAGCAAATAATAGTATAAGATTTTGAGTATAACTATCATGATATCACAAGTTCATAATAAATTTAAAATATGAAATGAAAAATATATGTATTTTTTAATTTTTTACGAGTTTCGTGTCATGTTTGGGTTAGGCGGGTCCAACCCGAAATTGACCCGTATTTTTCGTTTCAATTTCAGGTCGACCCAATTCTGACCCGAACCTCTTTTTTCTCAACCCTAACCCGCAAAATTCGTGTTGTTTTCGAGTCGTGTAGTCGTGTCGTGACCCATATTACCGGCCCTAGTGGTGTGCAATCTGCAACATCCAAATTTATTTACTCTTTAATAGGCTCACGTCCTAACAGTAGTTAATCGTTATCCAAAGCTTTTTATTATGCACCGTATATGTAGGAGGAAGTACAACCCCTATCTAGAGATACAAGAACGGGTCTGTCCGGCCATTCTTCTTAGGCCCACGTAGACTGTAGGCCGGGCCGGCCTAACCCATAAAATTTGTGGGCCGGATCGGTTCCGTATAAGAATTATCTCAGCTCAGCTTATATCACGGGTCAAGTTTACATGGGTCAGATTGAGTCGTGTCATGGGCCTTGAATGAGTTAGCACATTTAAAGTCCATCTTAGTTCATCATGGGTTTAAATGGACCAGCCCATCAAAGTATGTAATTTTTAAATTTTTTATTTTTTTATTTTAAAATTTTTAAACAAGTTAACAAATATAAAAGTTTAAATAGTTAATAGAAATATAAAAAATGATATTTTATTTACAATTGCCCCATTAAAAACCTTTCCAAGAAAAACCTAGTAGGACAAAACCTTGGTAAGAAAAAAAGAGTACAATCAGGATAATTATACATAAGATGTTTACAAAATTACTAGAAAAGAAAAAAATAAATATTATTCATAATTACAACATATTACTTCTAGTAGGAATATCAGTGGGAGTATCAGAAATGTCTAAATTTTTTAAGTCATTAATAAATAAGAAGCTGACCCATTGTGGGCCTATATGTGCATTACACTGGTCGGCCCATTATGGGCCGTACCGGGCCGGTCTATGGGCTGTATCGGGCAAGTCTATGGGCCGATATATGTTGACTAAGCTTAACACACTAATTTTTATAGACTGAGTCGTATCTTGAATAATAACAGGCTGAGCCTGTGTCAGGATGGGTCTGAGCCGCCCACAGGCCCATTCTCGTTGTTGCATCCCTGCCCCTATCATAAACAAAATAACAACCTAATTCAATTTTCTTAATTTTTTTCAATAGACAACAAATTCCCTACATTTAGCACCGTCACTTTCAGAACTTTTTTCTTCCTTCTCAGTCTTGAGTCTCTTGACTTGAGAGAGAGAGACAGAAGCTAAACGTCATCAATGACAAAGTGACATAGACTAATGAAGGTTATGAAGCAAAATTAGAATCGATTGCCAATCTATGTTCGAAGCTGGTCAGATCTAGTAGTTTATGAGAAGGTATTTGAAGATTCTTCAACCAAATAAAAATTCAAGAGACCTATTCAATTTCATTTTTGCTCCACATTATTAATTGCTTTATAAAGAAAACTTTTTATAGCAGAAAGTGTTATTTTGCCTGACTAATAGGAATTGTTAATTGTTAGATTATTTTCTAGTCCAATACATGAGCATTAACATTAAAAATTTATATAACGCAATATAAAACTGTTTCTACTCATAGATTATACAGAATAATAGTTTTTATTGGTTAAATAAATAGTAGTCAAACCATAAAAATTCCTGATAAAAAAAATAAAGATTGGGTCGGAGCTTTACTTGTGATAGCCACTTTCATTGTATTTATAAGGAAAATTATGCGGTAAAGTATAAAACATATCATGAGATGAGACACAATTTTAGTTCTAGATCACCATAAAAAAATATAAGTACTTAAATTAAATTAGAAAGTTTGCAAAGATAGTTTATATTCAAAGATAAGCCACAAACACAAACTTCTTCAATTTCCAAAATGGACCCATTCAATTTCTCTAATTTACACTTAGCACTGACAACTCCAGAAGTACTTTCTTCACCTTTCCCCCTTAAATGGAGAATCAAAACGTCTGCAATGACATCACCATCAGACCAAATGAAAGAAATTCCACGAAAACTCTGCAAAAATCACCGAACACATTGATTATAGTTGTCCATTACCTATAAATAGAACATGATAATCATCCCATCTCTCCACAGCTTTTACGTATTCTCGTTTCATTCACTCACACACGAGGTGTTCGACAAAAGTTCTCAATGGCAAACGAGGTGATTCTTCTAGATTTCGGGATCAGCAAGTTCAGCATGAGGGTCAGAGTAGCCTTGGCCGAAAAGGGTATCAAGTACGAGTACAAAGAAGAGAATCTGAGCAACAAAAGCCCACTTCTTCTTCAGATGAATCCGATTCACAAGAAAATCCCAGTTCTTATTCACAACGGAAAACCCATTTCTGAATCTCTAATAATTGTTCAGTACATTGATGAGGTTTGGAATGACAAAGCTCCATTGTTTCCTTCAGATCCTTACCAGAGAGCCCAAGCCAGATTCTGGGCTGATTTCATTGATAAGAAGGTATATATTATTGTTTTTCAATATAATTTCACTTCAGGGTCAACTTAAGGGATAACATCAATATAACCAAACCCCCGTTCTAGCTTTTTGGATCGCCATTATTTTCATTTCGTTTTGATCTCTTGTAAAGAGGGAATTTTGTTGGGATTACTTCTATACTATTGTTTTGACTTTTGAATCTGTTTTCTGACATGGGAGTGTTGACTCACTACGAACAGAGTTTATTAATTTGTACTCCAATTCTTGGCCTTTTTTTTTTTTTTTGTCCTTTTAAATAGCTTTTATGTTTTTTTGGGTGTATTTTGGATTTATACATATTTGTCTTTTGAACAATACCACTCAAAACTTTTATTTTTTGTTTTTTTTTTTCTAATTGTTATGGTGGTGTGCTTACATTCTTATTTTTCAAACCATTAAAAGTATTTTGATAAAAGGGTTGTTCGGTCGGATGAATTTACTCAAAAAATGCCCACTCGAGTGACGAATTCAGCCTAAGTATACGTTTGGCGTTGGCTTACTAGAAACCAAACTTAGAAATGAACTCAAGTTACTCGGCCAATCTTGAGTTCATCCTCTCTCCCTTGACTCGAGTAACAAAAATGCTAAAAAAAACTCCGGCGAAGTCCTCCTTCGACCCGAACTTCTCCGGCATCCCACCTACGGTGAGGCGCTCTGCTTCTCCTCTGCCATGAGAACTTCTTTGGCGAAGTCCTCCTCCTCCTCCGCCAGTCACCTCTACGTACTTGCCGCCGGCCACCTATGCGCATTGTCCGCCACGTGTCTGACGACACCGCCCTCACCAAATAACTCTGCGACTGCAGATCTACGGAACCTAACCATCCATTAGTCCAATCTCGGCCGAAATCGCCATTGACGCCGCCTATAAGTCGCAACCCAGCCATCGTCGGGGGGGATTTGAAAATTGGGGTGGATTGGGTTGTGAGATTGCAAGGAATTGTTGGCGAAGTATGGGGTTGAGATGGTAGGAGATTCTGTTGTTTATCTGGGTTTGAGGGCAGAGGAGGATGTCGTTTATTGGGCGGTTGATGTGTTTGGGGAGAGTGGTTTTATTGTTGTTTAGAAGACCTTTTTTTAAAAAAAAATTCATAAATGACTTTGAACCTGAATTATGTACGTAGTTAAAATGATGATGTGGTATTTTAAATTGCATAAAATTAAATAAATTCAAATAAGGA